CTTCTTCTTCTTCTTTTTCTTCTTCTTCTTCTTCTTCTTCTTCTCCTCTTCAGACTCCATCTTCTTCTTCTTCTTCTTCAGATTGGAGACTTATACTAGTTGGACAGAGATCAGTATCGGACTTCGGTGGTATGAGACTGTGGTACTTACCGGATTGGAGACTTGGAGATTGTTGGGGTTGATACTCGGCTGCATCACAGTTCGGACACCCGTTACATCTGGACTCTGTACCTCCGACATTGGTGACCTATTGTCCTCAACATTTTGATCTTGTTGGATGACATTTTGGACTACCATATCGGTGACCTATCAGATTCTATCTCGGTGACCTTCGGTGCTGTCTACCTCCCCCACCTCCTTCGTCTCTCCTCCCACCTCTCATCTGTGTATGCGTGTACGAGGTCTGGGCATCGTCTATGCTTGGCCCAGACCCCACCATCTCACGATTGTATGTGTGTGGAGTGATTCTTGAGTCAGTCTGTGTGAGTCAGTCTATGTGAGTCAGTCCGTTTATCAGACTTCCGCTGCATATATGCTCATCCTACATTGGTTGATCTTTGGTTCTGCCCATACTCATTGAAGTATGTAACAGTGCCCCTTCTGCGGATCCTATGATCCTGCTCAATCAGTGCCTCATTTTCATGGATAAAAGGTGTCGATGAAACTTGATTTCATCGCTGCACTGCTTTCCATTTTTAAGGATTAAGACTCCATGAACAGCACTTTTGATTTTTTTGTATCCCGCCCCCCTGATCCTGGTCAATCAGTGCCTCATTTTCATGGATAAAAGGTGTTAATGAGACTTGATTTCATCGCCGCACTGCTTTCCATTTCTAAGGACGAGGCTCCATGAACAGCTCTTTTGTTTTGTTTTGTTTTTCCCCGCATCCCCCMCCCCCCGCCCCGATCTGATTTAGAAAACTGAGGAGTTGGGGGAACACGTGAACTCCAGCAGTGTCAATCACAGGAGCGTACCTTCCCCTGCATACTCGATGATGAATTCGCCTGCCTTTACATCTTCTCCAGCTTCTACTCCCCATCCACAGTGTCTGGTCTGCAACAGACAGCCCACCCAATGATCAGCGTCAGAAGAGGAGGGACTCTGCAGTTATTTGCTGCATGCCAAGGGGTCGGGGGGGGGGGGACGGGGGATAAAACTTGAGAAAAGGAAGGTTCCACAGTTAAAGCCCGTAAAGCAAGTACTGAAGCAGAAGCTATCCAGACCAAGCCCCATTACGCTCGAACCGTATGCCAGATTAACTTGGTGCAATGATCTTCATTTCTTCCTTACTTCTGCTTTTTTTCCCTTCTTTCTCTTATAGATCTCCCCAGAGGTTCCAGAACACATTACAAACAGGCACTCCCAGTAGGGCCCAATTCAGCCTGTCCTTGAGACATATCTTGTCCCAGTCACTCCCAGTAGGGCCCAATTCAGCCCGTCTCTTAGACAAATATATTGTCCCAGGGCACTCCCAGTAGGGGCCAATTCAGCCTGTCACTGAGACATATATTGTATTATTGTCCCATATCCATCAACTGAAAGAGCGCACTTTGTGAAACAAACGAGGAAAACTGAAGACAGCATGAGGAAGTACTGCATTCGATGGGTCCAAATGCGCAGAGAGATGAAACACATTGCCAAATTGTATGATGTTTTGTCCATAGGGACAATGGCGAAGTGCTGTACAATCGCAAAGTGCTGTTGAAGATGGCGCGAGGAGGCATGTGTGGAACGAAGTGCAGGTGGCACAACAATACGATGAGTATACGTCTTACTGACGATGGGCAAGAAGTGCAGGTGGCACAACAATACGATGAGTATACGTCTTACTGACGATGGGCAAGGATTGCAGATCACGCCTGTCTGGCCAACGACTTCTGTATTTGTGAGTGTAATCACATCATCACTTTTCCCATTCGATGCATACTTAGAACCCCCTTCTTGAAAGGCTTACGAGGCCATCATCAAAGATGACACCATAATGTCCTTCGAGACATCCATTAAAAACGAAACGGAACAAAAAAAAAAAAAAAAAAAAAAAACAAGGAATGGTACAGAGACCTTCCGCGATCAGAAGACCCCTGACGAGTGCCGGCGGCGGCCGGCCAAAACTAGTCGGGTCCTTAGCCGCCTGAACTTTACTGTGATATTTTTCGTATGAGTCGCGTTCGGGAGATTTGCCTACATACTGCGTACCAGTCTCTTCTCTTCCTCCTTGCTTTGCTCTCTCTCTCTCTCTCTCTCTCTCTCTCTCTCTCTCTCTCTCTCTCTCTCTCCCCCTCTTCCCTTTATGTGGTGTCGCATGTGTATGGTACTTACGATCACACTGTGGTATGTGGCCTTCGTTGCTATTACTACACCCTACGCAGGGATGACACGCACAAATCAAGAAATGTGGGCGCCAAAAAAAAAAACTAAACGGTGCATGATTTGCAGACACAGGCATGCTCCATGGCCGCAAGTCAACAGCAACAGTCACAGCAACTCACCACCCTTGCCCTCACAGTGGGTATATTGCCCTCTCTCCGTCCTTCCCTCTCTCGCCCCCCTTTTGGTGTCTCTGTTCCTCCCCCTCATCTCTCTTCATCCCCCTTTTTCCCTCCCTTCTCCTTCCCCTTCTCCCTATCCTCTTCCTTGCCACTTCTCACCATCCATACCCTCACCCTCTCCCACACCTTACTTCATACTCACCTTCTTTTTTTTCTTTTTTTGCTTTTTTTTTTTAACAACTGCAAGGAATATGAGTGGGGACGATATACAAAAAGCCAAGTTGAGAAATCACACAGATTTCCAAGTAGTCGTGTACAAGCAGAGAGCACAAATGCGCCGAGATTCCATCCAATATAAGAGCAATACAATGAAGTAATGAGCCAATGTTCAAGCCCTCAGGCCACACCAAAGCAGTTGCCAAAGTCGCTCCTCTCTGTCTGGCGCCCAGCGCCCAGCCTACACTACTTGACTATCCTACCTACATCAGCATTCTCGCAACAGGCTCACTTCGACTCTTGAAGACCAATGTACATGATGTCAACACCATAGCCGACCTCTCTCATGCATCAGGTATGTATCTCACCTCCCCTCATCAGACCCTGTCCACCACACTCGCCTCCTTCCTGAAGACCACCGATCACCCTCTTACCCCCTAGCGCCCTGCAGCCCGGCTATGGTTGCTAGTGCTCCGCTGCCCAGCAGCGCCCCTCTCACATCTTGTGCACCCCGCAAGCGCTCTGGCCGCAACGCAGCAGCGTGACCGCATTGCCTGCGTGGGCCAGAATGCCAGACCCTGGCTGCCCTCCTTCCTATATGGAAGTGGCAGCCTCTGCTTGGCTGCATGTGGCCTGGATGGGAAGCTTCCTGTAGCTTCCGGTCGGGCCCCAGCACCTGCGCCCAGGCACCGTGCTACAGTTGAGGAGGGCCTGGGCCCTTTACAGTTGGGCATGACCTGAGTCTCCAGACTTAGGCCGTTTTCTGCATTTGCACAGGTCCCGGGGTATGTATGTCGACAGTGCTGCTTTTGTGTAGGCCTGTAGCCACTTCGTGATGTATCGGCCCTGCATGGTGTGTATGTTCCCAGGCGAAACTGCCACAACCTGGGCCAAACTGTACGACGCATCTTAGGGAGGCTCAAGCGTCCATTCAACCAACCGCAGGCTGCAACAGCCTGAGTACCCACATATGAAAAATGTCGAATTTTGGCCTCAAGTGAATATTCAGGCCCGCCTTCACTTAGGGCGGTCACTTGGCTTGCTGGGGGCCTCTACCCAAAGCATGTGCATGTCTGATAAGGGCCCCGTGACGGCTCATTCCTCGCACAACAATTTCAACAAAGGCAAAGGCCCCATCTATTCTGGGGGGCATCAGTCCGATTGCTTATCACCGACAAGCATGAGTTGTAGGGGGGATAGACATCAGCAAAGCCCTTGCGGTACTGGCCACCTATCAAGGAGGCGGGGGGGGGGGGGCTACTGCAGGCCATCCCATTCCCCAAACCATAGCCCTCCCTGGGGTGCTTCTGCTGGCCGGGAAGCTTCCTAGCAACACCCAGTCACCTTCACTATGCCTTTACATTTATTTTTTTCCAGGCCCTTGTGGTCCTGGCTCCATAAGAGTCCATATCCATTCTCGGGAGCACGTCAGTCCACTTCCTTTTCCCCCGGCAAGTCATATATATTAAATCATTAACACCTCACACACTCACCTTCACTATGCTCATTTTCTTTTCCTTCCTAAACGGACGATTCAAGCAGTTCTCGTCACACTTGCAACGTTTCGAACAGCTTGTTGAAATCGACCTGCAGTTTTGCAACACGTCAAACAACGGCACACATATCACCAACCCCCAGAAAAGTTGTTTTTTTTGCTTGAGAAAAAGCAAGGAATCCATTATCATCTAACCMCCCCCCCCCCCCCCCCCCCCCAGGAAAAAAAAAAAAAAAGTCAACCCACAACACAATGAACAAAGCAGAGTTGGAAAGAACTTCAAAGAAGTTTAGTACTTGACCAGAGCAGGCCAACCAAACTGCAAAGGACTGAGAAGCAGGGTAAGGCCTGGCAGACCTGTCGCAAGGATCGTCTGTTGCCAAGCAAGAGAACAAGCACCCAGTTTCCATACCAAAAGACGAACATGCCTCATCAGATTGGATATCCGCCAATGTCAGCCCACAATTACAGCCTGTGACTGACTCTCCCATCACGCTCGTGCAATGCCATCGAGAACTTTGTGCACGTACGGTGTGGACTCTCCCTTCAGTTTCTTCTGCACTTCCGCAGTGCTGCGCCGTGATCAGATGACAATATATGGTAAAGATAACCTATACACTGCTCTGAAATCAACCAACTATCGCAGCCAGCCAGATCCGCAACACAGCGCAGCGGCAATTGCATATGGCCCAGGTAGATAGCCATCAGCAGAAAGAGAGAACCTACACACTATAAGAAACTCCTGATCGCAAGGCGCGAAATCAACCACCTATCGCGGCCAGCCAGTTCTGCAACACCAGGCAGTGGCAATTGCATATTGCTAAGGTAGAGAGAGCCATAAACACCCAATCCGGCGGCCACGAACGATGGATCAGACGGTACGATAAGAATTTCAGTCCCATAGACGGTCAGAAGATTTTGCAACTGCCCATCCAACTGAACTCACACAGCCTGACTTCATGCCTCACTCTCAGCAACACAGTATGAGCCTCCACACAGACTGAACCCCCTTCCTAGCCCAACTAATTGCCTAACACAGAAGATGAAAATTTTTGACGCAGTGGCACAACAAACTGCAACACCCCTTCTGCCCTGGGCCCTAGCACCCCACAGCACTCGAGAATTTGCCAGCACGCTCAGCATCTGAGTGATGCTACAGCCATTCCATCCCCGGCCCATTCCCCAGCTACCTTCCAAGATGCTGAAAAATTCAGTGTGGCAGTGCCCAGTTTTTTTGTAAACTGCATCACAGCACCTTGCAATTAGCATTACCGCACCACTCTTAAAACTCTGTCACAAATTACAGTGCCAAAAACCTGCCACAGCGTCTCTCTCTCTCTCTCTCTCTCTCTCTCTCTCTCTCTCTCTCTCTCTCTCTCTCTCTCTCTCTCTCTCTCTCTCTNCTCTCTCTCTCTCTCTCTCTCTCTCTCTCTCTCTCTCTCTCTCTCTCTCTCTCTCTCTCTCTCTCTCTCTGTCTGTCTGTCTGTCTGTCTGTGTGCGTGGGGAAGTTTAGAGGGACAGTTCTCAATGTGGGCGCTGGAGAGTGTGTGCGTGCTGGCGACCATGGGTACCTATGCATGGGTGGTATGTGCGCGTCTGGGGGCAGGGACACTAGTGCGAGCATGTGTGTGTGGGTGGGGGGGCATAGACAGTGGGAGCTGGTTGATGGGCAATTTTTTGGGTCTACAGTTTTTGGACCAGGTCACCATTCGCCGGGCAGGCGATTTTGGGGGTCTGCCTGATGTGCAGCGCTTGCTTTTTCTGCATGCAACAGCACATTTGATGTGGAGCCAGCAGTCGCAATTGGGGCCTGACACACCGCTTCACAAAGCACCTCCAAGGCCTCAGAGCGACATACACAAGGGCAGAACAGATTGAACATTCCAAGACGATTAAAGCAATGCTACGATAATTTTTATCCTTCCCCCCCCCCCCCCCTCTCTGAAAACACAGTCCAGGAAGCCAAATGATCCGCGGCAGAACAGACGGAAAGCGCATAATTGTCAGTCAAAGAACATGACAACACTACCATACAACCCCCCCCCACCTTCCCAGTCATCCAACTGCCCAAAACCAGCGGCTAAGAAGAGAATCAGCGCCCAAGCCAGCAAGCTATATATTTGATTTTTATAGCCATTATACTGAGGTGGAGAATAGCTGGAGGAATAAGATGCAAAGGGACTTCTTCCATTTTCTTCTTCTTCTGCATGCTAGGAGGAGGAGGAGGAGGAGACAGGAGGGAAAACAAAGATGAAGGATACCATGCACAGTGCACACACATCCTGCACAAACATGACGAGCTTGCCAAATAGCAAGGTGGAGGAGGAGGGGGCCTGACGGCAACAACACACTGACGCAGGTGAGTGCCGCAGAGGGCGAGGGGAGGCGTGGCCTCAGCAATGCGCTCCACATAGACCTAACGGGAGAAAAGGAAAGAGTGGTGGGTGTCTTACTAATTCAATACCAATGCACGTCAATAGACATATCAAAAGCTAACATACATCGTGGAATGCCCATAATTTTGTAAGCCCTTTTCCAATGTGAAGTGGGGCTCTCCTGGGAATAAGTGCATGGTGAAGGGAAAAGTGAGAACGATGCTCGTTGGTACACCCACGGACTGTTGAAATACAGACTCAAGTTTGAATCCAGATACAACCAGATGCCCAGAATAACATACTTCAAAATTACCTGGGGGGCGGTCAAAGCTTCCAATGATGATATCTCAAGGCCGTCGCCCTTGCTGAAAAAAAAAAAAAAGAGTGAGAACGACTGTGTGGTCCAGGGAAAATCAAGAATAGATCAGTGGTAAAGAGAAAAGCAAACACGGTCGCACTGATTGTTGAACCAACCCTCCTCCCCAGCCCCGACACCCACCCCCGATCATCCATTCCCAGCCCCTCCCTGGAGGTGCTGCGCTGATGACCATCGACAATGTGGACACAGTGAGGAAATGCAATATGAAGTTATGAACCCCCTGACACATAATATAATACCCGAACCCACACCCCACCTAACCCCTTCCCTCCCCCTTCCGTCCAGCAACAAAGTGTGAAGCAAATGGACATGCGACACTTACCGGCAGAGACAATTGCTTCCACATACTTCATTCTCCCCTGTACACAAGCAACAGGAATCTTCCCCTGCTGTTTTCGGCCGCTTGACAAGATATACATCTATAATCACGGCAGTCAAGGAGCCTTCACGGGAACACCCGACTGCATAGAGTAGTCACCTGCAACTCAAAATGCTCTAGGCGATGACAATTTATTCCGCTATCACAGGTTATTGCACTCTCTAACATACTCAAGAGTCCCTTTAAGCATCATCATCCACGACACCAAGTACATGCTTTCCCTGCAAAATTCTGAAATTTTGAAAAAAAAAAACTCACCTTTGTGACACAAATAAGATCATCACACCACAGACAGCATACTGTCAACTTTTATCAGGTCAAAGTGTCAGACGGCAGTTCGGCATCAGAACGAAACTTTTGCGACTTCGTGCATTTATAATTAATTCATTGCCTTCAACCAAAGGCTCATAGATGTCACCTTTGCACATCCAATATCTGAGACAATTGCCCTTACTTAAGTTTAATAACCTCATTCACAGAGGACTGACCGTGAAAGGTGAACACGACCCTTCTTAACCATTGGCCCGGATACCTTCCCACGATCTCAGAGACTTGAGCTCTAGTTCCAAGTTTGACTTTTGCTGGGCACTTTCTTCTTCTTTTTTTTTTTTTTTTAAACACACCACGCCCTTCTATTCTGGGGGGCAACAGTCCAGTTACTTGTCACCGGCAAGCATGGAAACGGTACACGTAAGAGAGAAGAGAAAGGTCGATATAACCCTTGTGGCTCTAGTCGCCTCGGAGAGTGATGTGAACTTGTACTGCAGTTGCTTCAGAGCAATGCCATCCACATCTGGAGGGCCGCGAGCCTCAACTGTCAACAAGGAGTAATTACTGTAATTGCATAAGGTGAAGAAACCTACTTTGCTCTTGAATCGAATTTCTGCTCCACGCTTCTTTGCCGCATGTTCAACTGTCTACAGCATACAAATGAAACATCAACATTTGATGAGTAGGAGAAGTAGCTGTCGGGCTTTTCATTTTTTGTACGATTGTCGAATTGGAGGTTGAGCGATCGACGGAGGGAAAACCATCCTGTACAGACTGTTTCGTCAGAGTTTCACCGACTCATCAGGAGGCTGAACCCTCGACAATCTGCCGACTCGTTGTATGAAACGATGATAACGGTAAGTGATAATCCACCTTAAGGTCCTTAAACCTAGAGATGTCACTCAAGCACCACGAAAAGGTTATAAATCCCGCCAACTCGTTGTATGAAAGATCAATGCGCGACGACGAGTAAGAAAGTGACTTTGTCAGGAAAAGACCAGACAGGTCAGACCGGGCAAACTACAAAACTGGCTCCAAGCACCACGAAAAGGTTATCAGACCAACACGCTTAGTTCAGTCAGTATACCCATAATCTGTTGAAATGCCGACCTGAGTTCGAATCCAGATGGAACCCGATGAACAAAATTCCTGGATTACCAAGGGCCAGTCAGTTTCAAGATGATACCTCAGAGCTGTTGCCCTTTTGAAAAGAAAAGAAAAAAGGTTATTAGACAAAGACGAACAGAAGGCAGTACACACCCACTGAGGTTCCAGAAGCTGACTGCGCAGACCGCCACTCAAGAGAGCAAAAAAAACTTCAAAGAAGTAATTGGTAACTCGTCAGGCGCATAATCTGAATGTTAAATAATAAATAATAAATATCCAGTACTACCGTCTTTCCACACACACAACGCACCTTCACCATGACTGTATCGAACAGGAAAGATAGCGAGCATACGTGCATGATCAGGCTGCACTGTGTTCGGGGAGGACGGTAGTTTGGATTTCCAATCTGATGGGTATCTTCTGGGAGGCCCCATACCTGGCCTGTGGCTGAATGGGCCACACATCCAACTGTCCATAAACAGATCACGAGCTGAAATCAACCTGGATTCAATCATGTTAGGGCGGGGTTCAAGCAGTGGGGCTTTACACCAGTGCAAGGAAGATGAGCATTAGCGAACTTCAGCAATCAAACAGCATCATACATATGAGCCCAGATAGTCTTGACCTCGAACCACAGCAGACTAGCATCACGAGATACACCAAATAAGAACACACCAAGAGTTCAAAATTGACAATGCTGAAGTAGTCCCATCATCATCAACTACGAACCAGAGTTGATATCCTATTGGTGCTCGGCGCCCAGACTACAGGTGGCAGATCCTATCTAACCTATACTACGAAGGAGAATGATGACATCAACAGTGTTCCCGAAGTACGAGCATATGGCGACCAATGTCGCACGGTTCAGCACCAGGTATGTCTCTTGTAACACTCACAACCCCGATCCACACCGCACAGATGCCACTAGCACCCCAAGGACCACCCTGCGCTTCACCTAGYATACAGCAGCGCAGCTTGGCTATGGCTGCGTGCTCCCTCCTACTCGCCCGTGAGAGCGTGAGTGCCAGCCAGCCAGCGGATTGCGCAGCAGCGCTCACKCAGCATGCAGCCAGCACCC